TTAAAGCTGGGGATGCACAATTAGGTGTTAGTCTTGTGTAGGTTCTATCTAATGATCTGGAAAGTCTCTTTATATAGGTTTCTAAAAAGTGATTCGACCCTCACTGATGAGGGTTGGTGTCTAATAACTATCTTCTTGACCTGACCGTAACTGTGGCCTCCAGATCTTCCTGTGTAGTGTCATAGTCAAACTCTTCTCGTCAGCTTCGTATCGTCAACTAGGGATGTAAATGATGGTGTTTCCTCAATCAGGTCAGTTCCCCCCCCCCCCACACACACACACACACACAGGAAGTAGCCTGTAACACCTGTCTAACTCCCAGGTACCTATTTACTTCTAGATAACAGGGTCATCAGGGTGAAAGAAACTGTTCATTTTGTTTCTCGCCGGCGCCGGGAATCGAACCCGGTCCACATGACTACGTGTCCAGCGTGCTGTCCACTCGGCCACCAGCGCCCCCATTCGCTGGTGGCTGAAAAAAAAACAATGTTTGGGGTCATTGATCTCTATATCCCCCGTGGATGCTGCCAACACCACACATGGCGGGTTTCAACTCTGGGTACGACCCTGACTGAATGAGGTGGGGGGGGGCACGTGGGCCTAGTCGGTGTTTTAGAGTGCAGGGAGAAGGGGTGATGGGGGGTGGGGGGATTATTGTTAGGGGGAAGGGGAGTTGTGCTAATGCCTCGCATCTTTGATTCCTCCCTCTCCCCCTTCCTAGCTCTTCCCCCTTCCTCGCTCGGCTACACATCACTCTCGGGTATTACCAGTTCAGACGATCACACAGGTGGGTGTTTATAGAGTCATTAAGGGCTTAGTACTGTAGTCCCCTCCCGGGTGCTTGGTCCACCCTCGCCCCAACACTCACTCACCATTACTGAGAGAATTGTTAAATTATTGTTTCTTGTATAAAGTACGGTATTACATTTTGATTGTGTGTGGCGGGTAGTTTTCGGTAGATTACAGGTATGTGCTGGTAGATTACACATGTGAGAGTGCATCATTGGTATGTGCCGGTAACATTACAGGTGTGTAGGTGTGGGTTATAACCAGGGCGAGTTACGAGTGTGTACACCAGGTGGGTGTGAGGAGGGCTCGGGACGTTGCCGGGATTTATGTCGACTACTCACGAAGGGCCGGTCTGCCTCTGCCCTTCCCTCTGTACTATCCCTCTCTTTCCTTCTACTCACCCTTCCTCTGTTCCTTCTCTCTACCTCCTCCTCCTCCTCCTCCCATAACCTTATGGTAATCTGGGAGGAGAGGAGAGGAGGCGACAGGTCTTAATGTAACACTTTAGATAGTGTCGGGAGAGTGGCAAGAGCGGCAAGTGTGTAAGTCTTATGGAGAAAATGAGTATTTCTTATACAGAGATTAAGTCTTATGGGAAGGTGTAGAGGATACTATTTGATCCAATCTAGTATCATCCTTATTACCAATTCCATTTCTTTATTATGCTCACCTCCCTGTGTGCGTGCGTGCGTGCGTCGTGCGTGCCCAAGGCCTGGCCGCGTGGTAATTCTTTGATGTATATTCATTACTGGTCGTCTACCAGTGAAGACCCTCCCTGCCTCTCCTCGTTATCATACTGGTGAGCTGTAATGTTGGTGACGACGACGACGGAAATGGTAACTTTGGTCACGGTACACGTTGATGGTGAAGATGGTGACGGTGCTTTGTTGTGTGAGGGAGGCAGACAGGGAGGGGGTTGAGGAAAGAGAGGGAGGGTTAGGGAAGTAGTAGAGGGAGGGAGGGAGACAGTGAGAGAGGGAGTGTCACAAGGAGGGAATACCTGCATGTCGGTGACTAAGAGGAGAATGATCACCACGTCAGAGGACAATAATCTCCAGGTTTAAGAGACAGTAGTGCGCGCTTGACGAGGTGACGTGTCTGGGTAGCAGCTGGTGAGATACCTTAACTGTTAAACTATCGCCTCACTTAACACATCAGCACAACTTCATTCTTCAGAAAGCACCCCCCCCCCCCAAAAAAAAAAACGAGAAAACACGAAAAAAAACACGAAGGCACCACATGGTGTCACAGGCCCCTTAGTGTGACCTGTCGTTACCTGACGTGACAACACACTAAACACACGTGACCTTCAGCTCATTATATATATATATATATATATATATATATATATATATATATATATATATATATATATATATATATATATATATATATATATATATATATATATATATATATAAAATATAATAATAATAATAATTTATAATAAATTACACATCTCGGGCAGGAAGCTCCTCCCCTGTGTGAATCAATATATTTCTATCATGCACACGCTGGACTCACTCTCCTGGCTAGTCCTCTACACTGCCTCGCTCCCCTCACTCGTCAACAAGACCAGTGTAGCCATGGGGCTACATTCGTCTGTCCGGTACACGTGTGTGGCCGGTTTGTGAGGACGCGAAGTGGGGCGCACGGGTCGCCAACCCTGGGAGACCAGAATGTAAGGCACGGTATTACCTGCTCCAGGTGGGTTTCATCATTATCCCTGACGGGACATAAACGCGCAGGTAACTGGTGTATATTTTAGCGAGGGAGGGAACTGTGGACTGTCAGGGGGAAAGCGCCAAGCCATTACGACTATATAGCACTGGGAAGGGGTCAGGATAAGGATTTGGGATGGGACGGGGGAAGCATCGTGGCTAAGGAATCTTGCCGAATGTAGGCGATGAGTCACAATAACGTGGCTAAATTATGTTGACCAGACCACACACTAGAAGGTGAAGGGACGACGACGTTTCGGTCCGTCCTGGACCATTCTCAATCGACTTGAGAATGGTCCAGGACGGACCGAAACGTCGTCGTCCCCTTCACCTTCTAGTGTGTGGTCTGGTCAACATCTTGCCGGAACATCGTGTCGCTGGATGATCACAGATGGCGCTACCTCATACCTTTGTCAGTGTTTACATCACGATAAATTTAACTCGGTTTGAGTCGGTTGTGAGCCGACTGCTCTACAGGTCACGACGAGTCGTACTGGCTTGTTTGTCAGCCTCTTGGCTCGTTAATGTATGAAGTGTGTGATGGAGACGTGGAGGCAGAGGTGGTCTCTAGGGTTATACCAATATTTGGTTGGCAGCAACTTGACCCAGTTGAGGTGGTGGGGACCTTGGCTGGTGGTGGAGATGCCCAGCGTTTGTCATACCGCTCGACATGTCAGCTGTTGGGGGGTTGAGGGTGATGTATGTTGGCTTAGGGAGGGGAGGTTGGCGTCACGCCGCCACACGCCTGTGGGGTGGCGTGACGCCTGCCCCCACCACTACACCTGTGGGGTGGCGTCACGCCACCACACATACAAGGGGTCCAGCAGCCCCTGGTGGTGGCCTCGGGGTGGAGACTCCGTGACACTAGACTGTATCTAGATTCTCTCAGGATAAGATGGTTAGCGTTGCTAAGTAAACATTAACCGTCTTGGGTGGTGATCAAGGCCACTGTTGTTCCTGGCCGGTGTCCTTGAACACCCGTATATATGTTATATATATATATATAGGTATATTTGATTTAATATCTGTGCCCAAAAATGTCACAAGAGTGCTGTTGGGAATTGGGTTAATGGTCTTACGACTTCCAGTTGTTTTAACGGTCGTTGTGGCCTAGTGGTGAAAGTATTGGACACGCTAAGGTGCTTCGAGCCCCTGGCTGTTTGGGTTCGAATCCTTCTTGGGTGAGTTTTCTGTCGCACGTGTGTGTGTGTGTGTGTGTGTGTGTGTGTGTGTGGTGTGTGGGGGGCTCGCTCGCTCGCTCTGTTTTGTCTCGGCTCTCTTCTTTTTCTCGCTATTTCTCGTTCGCGCTCTCTCTCTCTCGCTCTCTTCCCCCATGCACCTTAATTGGTCAAGATTTAACGGACCTTAACTGTTCATTAGCTATACTACAAACCATCATTTGACGGGGGAACCTTAATTGGGCATTGACTGTAGTGTTGTGTGCGCGAGACGGGGGCCTCTTGCCCACTGGTTGGTGGTGGTGCAACACTGGCGCTTAGGTAACGCAGGAAGCCGGATACATGGTCCCAAAATGAGCTGAATTCCTCCAATAATCAGCCTTGGAGGTTGACGCACCGATTACGTCTCCTGACTCCCACACCCAGAGAGCCATCAGCGACATATACCAACTTGGCCAACATAAAAACTAGCTGGAAATCCGTGTAAGGAATCATTTAGAACTTTGCATGTCACGTATCGGATCAGTCCTGGAGTCTGTAGCCCCGCGTGGAGTTTCAAATGTAGATTATAGGCTCAGGAACCTGTACACCAGTTGATTGACCATTTGAAATTTGGGGCCAAAGAGCACCAGCTTCCCACCCCCGCCCTCAGAGTTAGGCGAGTCATTCCAGCACTCGGCTGTGATGTCTGGTAAGGTTAGATGGAGCGGGTTGAACACCTTACCTGTGGAGGGAGTGTTTGTGTTCCTGGCATGACTCAGTGTTTGGTGTTGAGTCATGGGTTATCCAGGAGTCTGGTGACGTCTTTGTCCTCCTTATTACGTACGTCACCTGTGAGAATTGTGGTTGTTGATGTGTTCTTATTGTTTCCTCTCACTGTGGTTGTGTAACCTTGCCATTCCTGATTGTCCCTCGCTTTGATTGTGTAACCTTGCCATTCCTGATTGTCCCTCACTTTGATTGTGTAACCTTGCCATTCCTGATTGTCCCTCACTTTGATTGTGTAACCTTGCCATTCCTGATTGTCCCTCACTTTGATTGTGTAACCTTGCCATTCCTGATTGTCCCTCGCTTTGATTGTGTAACCTTGCCATTCCTGATTGTCCCTCCCTTTGATTGGCCTTGTGCTTCCAAACAGCTCCATCCCACCATTTTCTTCCCATTAAAGATTCTTGAAAGTGCATGTATTCACATTATTTATAAATGTTAACTTCATATTAACTTCTAAGTATTGATCACTATTACAGGTAATCATTTCTCTTGGGAATTTGAAAATGTTGTTTACGTGATTGGTTCTTTTCTTGTCCCACAGATGTCGGGCGAGTCGGGAGAGGGAGGCCCGGGCGGCGGTGGTGGCGGCGGCGAGGTAATGGACTTCCAAAACCGCATCAAAAGATTTCAGAAAGATCAACAATTCAACCAACAGCAGGTTAGTAACTATGTGTAAAGTGAAGGTGTAGACGTGTGCCTGGGGGGGCTATCTTGAGGTTATCTTGAGATAATTTCGGGGCTTTTAGTGTTCCCGCGGCCCGGTCCTCGACCAGGCCTCCACCCCCAGGAAGTTGCAGCATACTACAGCACCCCAGTGTGGGTCTTTTGACTGGTGTAAACACTGGTAGTGTTTTCAGGAGTTAGAAAGTGTCAAAGTACATGTGATACTTCCATACTGCTCACCAGTAATGTTTATTTCTATGACACAAACCTGTACTGATAGGTATAAACATCATTCAAGGGACGCAGGTTCGATCCCATTATACGTCCTCAGTATTAATAGATTAAATCACTTGTGATTCCATTGAGTAAGACAACATTAGCTTGTTACCTCCACATACCCTTTAGGTGCACTTGGCCTAGATAGCATCAAAGGCACCATGGAGGACCGAGTACGTAAACCCCACTAAAACTCTGGAATTTCAAGTCATGAGACTTGACTCTCACTAAACGAAAAAGGAAGTAACTGAACTGAACTATACTCAAGAGTAATTACAAGACAATATATATATAAATCTTGAACACTAGACCTGCAAGGCATGTCCTTCATGTCCAGCTGTGGCGAGTCTACACCTGCCTGACGCAGGTGTAGGCTAGCCCCCAGTCACGACCCAGTCGACGCCACACCTCCGTCCAGCCCTACCATTGGCTGGCGACGTGGTTGATCTTGGCGTCACTGTGGAGCCTCCTGATAGTTTACAGAGTTTAGAGAGCTTGCAAGGGTAGAGAAGGGGGGCGAGGGGGGTCGCCCGAGAGTCTGCAACAAGTTCATATAAGACTGTGAGGGCGCGGGCCCTCTACCCTGTGAGGGCGCGGGCCCTCTACCCTGTGAGGGCGCGGGCCCTCTACCCTGTGAGGGCGCGGGCCCTCTACCCTGGAGGGCGCGGGCCCTCTACCCTGGGAGGGCGCGGGCCCTCTACCCTGGGAGGGCGCGGGCCCTCTACCCTATCGTCTTGTCATTCATTAATTCATCAGAGCGCCAGGAGACCTCCCCTGAGGCTCGCTGTCCTTGTGTGGATAATGATCTGTCTGAGGTGAGCAAGGGTCGTCTGGGAGGAGGGAGGGAGGGAGGGTGCTTCACATGATGTATAACCGTCCCATTAGTTGTGGTAACTCACGCGGTTCGTAAATTTCATGTTTATTTCTAAAGGTTATTGGTAACGCGCGTTTACATTTAAAGAAAACGGGAATTTTGGTCAAAATGATTGGTTTATAGGCAATCAGGTGGCGATAATCCGGTTAAAATATAATCATTCATCCAGAGATAAAAGTCTGTAAATAGTCTTAATCGTAGACTTGATAATTTATCAGGTGTATTTATGAGTTTGTAAGTCGCCAGGTTAAGGCGACTCACAAATTGACTTCATATTGTATTTTTGTGTTTTTAAGAAAATGGATTGTTGTGTGTTGTGCGTGATGCCGTGAGAGACGCAGTTTATGACGCAAGGTTTATGACTCTGCCACCTGACTCACACTATGACATCACCCATTCATTGACGCAAACCTTACTCAGGATTGAATTGTTGATAACAGTTTAGAGTAGAATTGACTGACTCATACTTGGAGTGACTTCTGGCCCCGCCCGACGGCCAGGCTGGACTTGATACCCCTGATCCAACAGGCTGTTGTATTGCATTATTATTCCTCTGCAAGTCTCGGCACTTGTGACTTGTGTATAGGTATCCTAGTAACTAGGTCAACTACTGATCCTCTACACGATGCTGCCCCTCAACAGTTGCCAAACTAGTAGGTGAACAGCGGTATTGGGTGAAAGGAAAGGTGCCCAACCGTTTTTGTCGTGCTCGGGTGATTGAACCCGGGTTCGTTAGTTGTGGGCCGAGGATATAGAGGTCTCTGGTTAACTTGTTTAAGATTCAGCTATTGGGAACAAAGTTCCAAGTAGCACGGGCTATAGTGAGCCCGTAGTGGACTTACCGGGCACCGAAGCGGGGCTGTAACTTGGTCTCCGGTTAATGTGTTGATAAGAGACGCGGGATTGTTATTTGCTTAGCTAAACGAACTAGAGGGATCAGTTCCTGAACCGATTATGTGCCTCTGTAATCCTTTACACCACCGCCCACGGGATGGGTATGGGGTGCATAATAAAGAAAGAAATTGAAATTGAATTGGTGGGCGGGGATAAACCTCTGAGCTTGGCACCGCTGCCGCCATAAGAAAACTTGCCTGTACAGGACCAACCAATATAATTCCCCGGTGTCGTCCACTGGGTGACTGGTGTGTCTACGCTCAAGGGGGCGCTCTCCGGTATGGGTTTGTTCCTTATCTTGAGATGATTTCAGGGCTTAGCTGTACCCGCGGCCCGGTCCTCGACCAGGCCAACTTTTTGTTACCCCCCCCCCCTCCCAGGAAGCAGCCCGTAGCAGTCGTCTAACTCCCAGGTACCTATTTACTGCTAGGTAACAGGGGCATCAGGGTGAAATAAACATTTTGCCCATTTGTCTCCGCCTCCACCAGGGATTGAACCCGGAAGCTCGAGACTACGAATCCGAAGCGCTGTCCACTCAGCTGCCAGGCGCCCTAGCATACACAATTGTGTCTTCGAGAATGGTAGGCGTGCGAGTTCGATCCCATTGTGTAACCTCAATATTTATTAATGGATTAATTACGTTCTCGTAATTTTCTTGTCCCCGTCCCCCCCAGGGAGGGTTTTAGGGAGCCGGTCGGCCGAGCGGACAGCACGCTGGACTTGTGATCCTGTGGTCCCGGGTTCGATCTCGGGTGCCGGCGAGAAGCAATGGGCAGAGTTTCTTTCACCCTATGCCCCTGTTACCTAGTAGTAAAATAGGTACCTGGGTGTTAGTCAGCTGTCACGGGCTGCTTCCTGGGGGTGGAGGCCTGGTCGAGGACCGGGCCGCGGGGACACTAAAAAGCCCCGAAAGCATCTCAAGATAACCCCCATCTCCTCCCCCCCCCCATCTCCACCCCCCCCCCCCTCAGCCCCGCCGCCTATTGGCAGCTAGCTGGCAGCATTACCACACACTCATCTTAAAATAGCAACGCTGTCTAGGGTGAAGAGTTAGCGTGCTTTGTTGAGTGTGTGGGAGGAGCAGTGGAAGAGTGAGAGTCACTCTTAGCCTAGGCCGCCTTTTAAGTGAGTCACTCTAGGCCGCCTTAAGTGAGTCACTCTAGGCCGCCTTCTAAGAACATAAAAATAAAGGAAACTGCATCGAGGTCTATTGATCCATGGTTGACAGCTTCTATTTCATCCCCAAACTCGTTCATATCCATGTCTACCCTACGCTTGAAACAATCCAAACCGATCCCAGGTCTGTTGTGTTAACCGGTAATGTGTTCCATGAAGCAATACTTCTGTTCCCATGCCAGTAGTTACGTCTGTTCTCAGTTTAATCTTAAGACCTTAGTCATACTTGGAGAGCATAATGTGATCCTGACACCCTTGGGGGAAAACAGTGGCACCCTGGCACCCTAGGGGAACAGTGGTACCCCCTGGCACCCTAGGGGAACAGGACTACCCTGTGGTAAAAGACCATGGCGATTTTTTAATTATTTGGAATATAGAATTGATGACACTAGAGATATTTAGTTTATATATTACGTCAGGGTTAGCCGAATGTTTATATAATTGGTTAGTTTCTTAGGGGTAGGCTCGTAGCCGCGCAGGTAATCTTGAGATGATTTCGGGGCTAGGCGTTCCCGCGGCCCGGTCCAGGCCTCCTTTTTGTTACACATCCCCAGGAAGCAGCCCGTAGCAGCTGTGTAACTCCCAGGTACCTATTTACTGCTAGGTGAACAGGGGTGAAAGAAAACCCCTGGTTCAAGGGTGAAAGTAAGTCTGCCTATTTGTTTCCGCCTCCACCGGGGATCGAACCCGTAACCTTAGGACTATGAATCCGAAATCTACTCAGCTGTCAGGCCCCTGCGCGGCTACAAGCCGCGCAGGTAGTTTGTTTACAATGCTCAACAGCATATATATTAAACTTGTTGATGCTCCAGGGGCTTATTTCACTATTCTCAGAAATTGATTAAAAAAAAATCAACCCTTTCGTATTGTATATTCTTGGCGGCCGCGTGTCACTGTTCCTGGCCATCTCTGCGGCCTTTGCCATAAGCGGCAGCGTTTCTGACAGTCGTAAACATATACAGATTATAATTTTCTGGAGAAGTGCCTGAGGCGGCCTTGAGAGGAGGGTGTTGGTCAGCCGGGCCCATAACAAGTATGGGGGAGACACTGTTGTCGCAATACCCAGAAGTATTAGTGACTCACTCCCCCATCCCGGCACTTCGACATTTGCCTCGGGGGGAAAAACGGCCCCGGGGGCTATGAGATTTATGTAGTGTCTAGTGCACCTGTCTCCGTTATTGGTGGTCATTAGCTGGATACTCGTTGTCTCTTCCACCCGGAGTTTGAGATGAGTGATCGTCTTGGCGCCTCACCAAATCAACAAGGACAAAAACGGCAAGTAAATTCTCTAAAAAAAGACTCTGTGTGTGCTCCAAGAGAGAGACAGTTACCAGAAGCCTCCGGCCCGCGGCCAACTCTGGACAACATTCTGCTGGGAGTGAGTGTATATACACCGTGGGGCGTGTAGGTGTTGTGTGTGTGGGCCCGCGTGTGCGTTTAGCCACGTCATGCAGGGCTCCTGCTTACCCAGCCTCACGCATATATTGGCTGCAGAGGGTAGGGGAGTTTCAGTTAGTCGTGTGAGGAGAGAGAGAGGGTGTTGTTAGCGTGCTGCCGGACGAGCCATTACTGCCCCGTTTGGATATTCAGTTATCGAGTGTTTACCTCGTGTGTTTGGAACGTGTATGAGAGAAACGCCTCGTAATAATATTTGTAAGTAAGGGAGCAGAAGTGGCTTTATCATAACCGATAATACCCCGGAATGTTCAGTACTTAACCGCTGTGGCTGCAAACCTACGGCCCGTTTTCTGTTGAAGTCAAAATTTAGCTAGACA